TAAGGGGCAACGAGGACGTGCAAAGCTGATAGGCTTCTATAACATCAAGCGAATGATCCCAAAAGACCTGAAGTAAAGATATGTCTCGAGCAACAGGAGACTCTGACAGCTGTTGAAGAAGTAGGATATACGATGTTGCACTACAAAGCCCTGAGAAGAAAGTCTGTGTCTAAGGATACGTTCTGATAGCGATGGCATGATGCGCGGTAATGTCTAGCGAGTAGCCTGGATCAAGAATAAAGGCCGTGTTAGAAGAAGGAAGGCGTTGCTTTTGTTACGTCAAGCTGAAGCTGAGACTTCCTGGTGTGCGAAGCACAAATCTGCATTATGATAAGACCCTGGAAAGGAGGGGTTTCTAAGGGAATTTGCAGGTTTTAACCTTATCAAGACAACTTGCATGATGCCCAGGCAAACTTCTGCGGTATCTACTTAGGGTTCTATGTGCAAAACCTCAAAAAAATCAGAAAAACGCAATGTCTTCCGCCCAATCTAGACGGGTTTAATGTGGTCATCAGAAAATTAAACAATAAATTTTGTGCGGAGCTGAAAAGGATACTTTCCCGCAAATCAACGACGGAGTTATGGTCATAGAAGTGGGTCGGCAGATGTCAGGACGGAAGCAGACTCTGTCCTTGCAGATTGAATGGAGAGTGACCCGTTTTCTGGGAGGCATAAGTTTTCAAACGTGAGGCATAGAATATAGTTGTAGAAGTTACATTTGCTAGCACGCACCATCGATTGTGCACGGCCACCTTCCAAGGAGCCCCTCTGAAAGTCATCATTACTGGGAGCCGCAAGGAACTGATTGAGGCGGTGGAAAGCCCGGCGTGAGTAGAACAGACGGCGTAGAACTGGCAAGCATGTGAGAATGGATTTAGATCATCTGAGATGACACGAAGCTGTGTGCAGTTAATCGGGGAAATATGTTGGGTCTAAAAGTGTGAAATCATGAGCACCACTTAACCCACCTAACCTTAATCCAACTGTCCTGGGAGCGCTCAACGCACACAGCACAGGGACTTCTGTGAATGTCATACAAGAGGAATAATCCATTAGGTGCCCTAGGCCGAGAAAGCAAGGCTTCTAAATCCTGATCCAACTCGAAGACAATTCTACCTAGCCAATCCATGGTAATTGTTGTTCACCAACACTGACCAACGAACAGGAAATTCACACTGACAACGAGCACGAATCAGCTCAGCTAATCACAGTAAATCTCACCAACTGCTTTCCTGACTCTTGAAACTCGACCAATCTGGTGACTTACTCAATTGATCTGACAAAGCTCTTGTCTTAAGAGTGAAACCTTGGCCAACATCAAATCCACCGGTTGTCTACTGAAACATATTCCACATTAGCTTTGCAGACAGGAAGAATCACACTGGTCGCATGCCACACTTTACAGGGCATCAAGTCACAACTTACGTGATAACTAGCAGCCGGCAGTCCGAAGGACAGACAAATACGTTGACAAAAATGCCTTCAAGACTGATCGGTGGGACTATGAATTCAGCTATTGTGTACGTTGCAATTCTAACTAGATACAGACTTATGCCTTGTATTGGCAATTGAAATTCCACGATAGGCCGAATGATATGGGACTGGGGTTATTCTAAACCAAAAGAGCCAAAAAGGTGCAGTTCGCAGATAATATAGTGAAGTTCACAGAAGCACAAATGCTCATAGAGGAAGACAGACGTGGTAAATCCACATGGGATGCGAGATGGAATGCAAGAAAAAGTGATGCCCAAGCATATACCGTTCGGCTAAACTGAGGTACACTGATATTTGAAATAAGTAGTGATGTCTGTCTGTCGAAAGTATCAAGTCACCGAGCGAGCGTAACGGGCGTATAGGTGGACCGGGGTCTCGAAATTACTTTTCCAGAATTATTAGAAACAGAACCGATTCGAGTAAAGTTTCCGTCCTGTCAGTAAACCCAGTCTATGTTCAGAAACCGAGAAGCACTGTACACTTGTTGAGAATCGTCGAGAGTGAGCATCTCACACTCGATGGCCCGTGGCCAAACGCTTGAGTCAGCCGGGATGTCTCGCATTCGTGACCGGCTAGAGATTCGTTAAATCCGCATTGCTCATAATTCCCAACAAAGATGAAACGACCTCAAGGTGTCTCTCGGCTGAGTCAGGTGACACAATATAAGCTTGTGCAGCGAAACAGTTCCGTCTACCCGCTAGTGGACTGTTCACTGATTCGTAAACGCTTCGTCACCAATTGAAATATATTTTCAGTACGCGATTGAACGAACGCTTCTCCCGCTTCTGTTTTCGTCTACATAAACTTTAAGGAGTACGTATTCCTACTAAAATAGGATTGTTTCAGCTGTTTTGCGGGTAAATTGATTAGTCCACCTAAAAAACGTGTTGCATGGATGTACTCCCATTTTCTTTCACCTGATTATCTTGTTGAACAAATCCAAGTCAGCAGTTGTGTTCTAAGGGTCCCGCTCGTCTGGTACGCTGTGGTCCTTCTTCTATTCATTTGATTGGTTGGTTGCTCACCTCGCTAGAGTACAAATTTATAGCCGTAGTGTGACATTGACGATGTTACATCAATTGATGATGAAATATCTGCAATCCGGCTGCCAAGCTCGGCAAGCATATCAACAACCAAGCAGGTCCTATCTTTGATAATCGCACGTTTATTTCGTCTGTCACACCACCGTCAGAGTTGATGTGACCTCCTGCAGCACAATTTCGCACTTCGTTGGCGCAAAGCAGATGCCGAAGAACTGGATGACCTTTGCCAACTTTTCTAGCAAAGATTACTTTTCCCGCTCTCCTTCAAAGATGAGAAAAATGTCATCTGTTTACACCAGCTAGAGATACCTTCCAGTGTTCGGCTCATTACTTCGTCGATGACGAAACCAAACGAGAACGGAGATGGTCGACATCCTTGTGGAACGCCAGCACTTGCACGAAAGCCTTTGAAGAGCTCTCCGTACGCTCTACGTCCATACGAGTATGTAAATACAAACAGCATTTGAGCTTTGCAAACTTCTGGGACATAAGCGTGTTAAAAGAAACCAACCGGTCAACGGAGAAAGTACTCTTGAGGTCAAGACTGCAGGGCGTCCATAGGCATGTCGCTGCTCTAAAAGTTGACAGAGTGTGGAAATGTGGTCTAAAGATCTCCCTTAAAGCCGGAATCTTGCTGACTGCTTTCAAGTTTCGTTTTTGTGCACCCTCATAAGACGATATAAAATAGGTGACGCAAAAAGTACAGCAACGACAGGAGCCAAACTAATTCATCTAACTTCATCACCCACTACGAGCACTATTTTGACAACGGGTATCACCATCAAACTCACCCCAGCTGGTAAGAATGCAGTCCAAAAAGAAACAGGACCTTGAAGTATTTCACCTTTGGTGGAAGTGACTGACCACTTTACACCCTTTGAAGAAAATCTCACTCCCAAAGAGGATCTGCTTTCTGGTTTCCTTCTGCAGTGGCTGCTCAAACTCCAAGAGGAAAATTTCGAATAACCGACATTTTGTGATGCGTCTAACCTGCTAGGTGGCTCTAAGTAACTAGTGTTCCCAAGACTGATGCTGCCGGGTCATACTGCGGCGCCAGCTAACTCCTCTGGTATCTGACTGGCCCAATTAGATCGATCTTCATTCTTTAATCCATGCATCGGATCATTCAGCCCGCTTCTAATCTGGATTGGAGAGCACTAACTGGATAAGGGCACGATAACCAGAATCTTGACAGCTGCAACGGACGACTTTTTCCCACATTTGTCTGTAGGATGAGGGGATTCAAGTGCTTTTCTGTTGAGGTTTCATCCCCTAAGTGAAATCGATCTGTGCCAAAAAGCCGAGACACAGCGCAGTTGCTTCATCCATGGGGAAGATCATCGGCAGCTTGCGTCTCAGTAAAGTGTAGGGAGATTCGAGCCCGCGATTCGTGTCAGAGGCTACGCGTTGACGGTCCGCTCGAGTGACAACGTCTCAGATGGAAGGCTTACGCCACATGTGAACCACTCTTTCTCTGTGCTACTTATGATTTGTTAGTGGTAAGACCTGAAATTGACGGGTGATTGTTCAAATCTCATACTACCAACAAACTACAAGTAGTGCAGAAGAAAGGATAATTCACGCGACCTCTCATCTGAGAGGCCAGTCAAAGTAATCACGCGATGCGGATGATATGTTTGAAGGGCGCTATATCCTGTCTAGGTGAGAGCTATTTACACCGCTACACAGCCCAGCTTTATATGGAACCACAGTCAGCCCACACCGGTTTTAATAATCACATACGGCCGGCTAAACTTGTCCTTTCGAATAAATGCACTGCAAGCATCGAGTAAAAAATGGACATCATGACAATGGAATCAAAGCTAAAAGTTCATTTTAACCCTTATAAACCCAACCGAACAGCGCCTTGACTGAAAAAATGGCCCCGATTGTACGTACTTCCTCAATTACCTGAGCAAAAGGATAGGGTCACGCTCATCTAACCCTGTCCCAGAGAAGCTAGACAGGCCCCAACGTCTCGGATCGCTACTCACCAAGCTGAATGAACTGTTGGTGTCAAAACTGGTAGTTTCACCCCCCCCCCTCCAACAACAACAACATGCTTTGCTTGCCGTGCTACGGGCACTCTGTATACTTGCCTGGACCTCCTAAACGATATTAGTGCAAATTTCGTTTATTCTAACTAATAAGTGTTCTTTTGCCCTGTGGCTACATTTTGAAAGTCTCTGTGCCTACAAGGGGTCCCATTGTAGCAATTTCTCGGCGTTCGCATTTAAAATGATGGTAATACCTGGAGTGAATTTTGTCCTGTGTGATCGTCTCACTGTTGTGTACCCGCAAAACTTTCGAAGTTAGACACAGTTTCCCAATACAGCACCACGGAGTTTGAAAAGTGGAACTTACCGGATTCAAGAATAAACTGAACTGGAGTGACCTCACTGGACACAAAAACGGTCAGTGAAACACTTAAATCTCAAAACGGTGGAGCGTGCGTGCGTGTCATCATCGTTCTGCTGCACTACCCTTTCGGTGCTTAACGGCCATGCCACCTGAAGGAAGCGCGAGAGCTGGGATACTACCAGATTGGCTAAACCCTGACAGGGGATGCAGAGTTCGGGTTCGAACCACGGATCTTCCGGTCAGTAAATTTGTATGCTAACTACTGAGCCATCTCGTGTGTTTGTGTGTGGTCATTCAAGAAACCTGGGAGGGCAGTTTTGTGAGATGACCTCAAAGTTGAATAAATTTATTTTTAAAAGACAATCACAGAAAAACAGTATGTCAAATACTACTTGGCCCCATATCAGTAGGTACATTCAGGATCAAACCAGCTTCGTCTACGTGGATATAAAAATAGCGCTTCTTGCAGCAACGTCCTGAGCTTCATTTTATCCGAATCTTGATTGTTTCCCGTGATTTGCTTTGAAATGCCCTACACATTGTGATTGGCTCATCGCGCGTGTCTACAAGGTCAAAACTAATCGAAATTAACAAGGGACGGGTGGAAAAGGAAATACGACAGGAGTATGGTTATCGTGTACAGGATGAAGAAAATCCGGTCCAAGACCAGACAAATCGTTCGCCAGTGATCTAGGTGTTCCAGTCGCAACGTTTTGATGCTCTGTCTGTGTTCCAACTGGCGGACAGCTTTGGTGATGTATCGGACGTCTTGGTGCATTCTGTCCATTACCACGAGAAGATCTTTAAACGCTCGAAGAAAAGACAATTCTTCTAGGTCATCGTTTAGGCACAGTCGGTTGTTCAAGTCAGCAGGCCATGGACCTGTCGGGCTGAGAGCAGGCATTGATTGGTGGGCCGAAAATAACCCTGGGAGCGTCTGTTCACAAGGTGCGATTGGCTGACAAAAACAAGGCAGATATGGTTCTAAATCCATCGTGAACCCGATATCCTGTGTACAGAGTACGCATTGATTTTCACGAGGTGTCAACCTACTTGAGACTGGAGGATAGATGGGTGGGATATTTGTTGTTTTGTAAGCGTCTGCGGGAAGAAAATTAGTGAAATTACGTCCTTCAGGTCGGTTTGACAAGGTCTGTGCTCTGAGATCCGGTCGATAAAACCCGAGTAAGGGACTCGAATAAGGGGGTGATGTTGAAGCACACTGCAACAGGGTGTTGGTTGTAACGTCGTCAATTTTATTCCAAGCGTTGTCGTTCTCCTTTACTCTGGTCTGGCTGACAGCGAGTGAAGTCACATTTACCATGAGCTTGGGACCCAGAAGTCTGCATGTCTGCAACGAAAATCGATAAAGAACACGGATTTATGGAGCTGAAGGTGTGTCCTACCATATTACTCTGCTGGATGTTCAAAACCAAATGCACTCGCAGTTCATCATCATCATCATCAGTGTCGTCACCATCACTGACAGCAATACATAAGCAGAGCGTAGTGGTACTCAAATGCCATAGGTGGAAGGATAGGAAGCTAGGAAAAAAGATGTCTATACGTGTATCCTGATAGCTCGAATATCGTACCAACTGAAACATGAAATGTATGAGTGTATTTCGCTAATTTCGTGCAACTTGGTTTCAAGCAGAACATAAGGGGACTTCGCCTACCTGATGAGCCCCAAGAAGGGCAAAACCGGTCGTGGGCTGTCGAAGAATTTTCAGCATCTTCATGAGTGGTGTATTACGTCCATAAAAGCGCCTACATATTTGAACAGCATTGAAATGTGTACATCTTAGCGTCATGTCGAGGTAAGCAGTGGGATCAGCCCAGCATCCTTTGCGCACGTAACCCGACCTGAGCTCAGCACACAAAGGCAGGAGAACTTTAGCTAGGCAGTCCAACTTGGAAATGAAAGTGAGCACGTCACTAGGGTCGGTTTTGTGCCATGTCCATCTGCAGACAGGATCACATGGGCCCCCGCCAAGAAGGCGCAAAGACTTGACTGAGACCGCTTTCACGCAGCCATTTCATAGTCTATCCGCATAGAAACATTCTCCAAGGATCCTTTGGAATGGAAGACAACGCGTCTTCCAATAGATTGTGCCGCTCCAACGAGTCGGCTTGGTTGCCACGTTCCTGCTCATGTCTCGCCCTCCACCATGCAAAAAACCTCAGTGAGGACATCAAGGAACTGTTCTTCAAGCCACTTTAATTTCCGCAGAGAACAACGTTCCCTGGTGATGGCTACCGTGAAGGCACTTGGTACCAGCATTCGAAGGGATTCCCGTCGAGTGGCGTGTAAAAATACGGGACCGGCTATATCGAAAAACCAGTGTTTATCCAACACATTCGATGCCGTTGGCAAAGTAATCAGATATTGACTGTACATGACTTAAACGTCAAGGGTTTCTGTCAAAAACGCCTTCAGTGCGTTCTGGAATTTTACATTTCAAGGGTCCGGTGGAAACATCAGGTCAGTAGGGCTTAGGTACGCCAGACAGTTTTCGGGGAAGCCCACTGTGCCTGGATAAATCAGCTAGGTACCCTCCACAGGTTGCAGGGGTTAGGCTGTGTATCAACTCAGTCGGGTTGACACCTGCTAACTCCCTGGATGGGGACCGCAAAACGAGACAAGCCAACGCTTAGTGACCCCGGCTGTGTCACGTGACCAACAGCTACCGCATAGCCCTCACTCCCATCGGAAGAAACGGAACCACTCGAACCACTGCGCAGATTGAGGAAGTATCGTTCACCCGTGGCTCGCATTTTCTTATTTTCCTCACCCTCGGTGAACGAAGCTATAGCACCTGGAACCACTGAACTTTGGTGCTCGGTTTGTGGGTTGAACTGAACTGAACTCGTGAGGTTGTTGAAAACTCCTCTATCTAATGAGTATTTCGTTCTGTCTGGACGATGTGGTGCGATACCTGAAATACCTCCCCGACTGAAAGATGGGTGGCAGCAAGTTCAGCTGAATAGAAAAACGTTTCAAAGAGAAGATTCGGCTGGATTCGGTTAATTTTCCCGTGCGACCAAATTAGTGTGCAAACAAGTGTATTTTGCGTGGGGGAGAAACTCAGTAAAACTGAAAGCCGTCCTTGGAATTAAGTAGTATGGGACGACTGTTCAAACTTATCAAAAAGCCAACTACCGGTGGAAGGAGGAAAACCATTCGCCAACTAAAAAGTTACAATCTATTGGACAGGAAAGCAGACATCTCCTATGCACTTTGTTTTTATAAACTGAATATCCGGCTTCTTCTTCAACGGGTCTTCTTGAACTTTCGTGGATATTCACTGACTATCACTCGAATGTAAACGAATACTGCAAAGCAGTTCTACAAATTCCGTAATAAACCCGACCTTTCCTTAGGCGCAAAGCGGAGTTACGAGAAAACCACATACTACTCGCATGCCTCACCAGTAGTATCCACCGATACACAAGTTTCTTCCGATTTGGAGTTCATCAGGTAGACGAAGGTGCCGAGAGCTGAGGAAATCAATCCCTGACTCAAACAGCAGTTTACCTGGGTCTTTATGCACGATCATACATGTAGGCTTTAAAGTAAAAACCACCATATCTAAGAACGGAACGCATAAGTCATTCAGCTGCCCGGAAGAATCACGTCTGAGATACGGCCCGGTTACCCAAGTCCAAACAGGAGCAGTCGACCTGATATGGTTGAGTTCGAATCACGGAACTCTCAGTCAGTAAGTTCGTGTCCCAACCATTGAGTTTTCACGAGCTCCGCGCAGTTACCGCGTATTTACCGTCGGACCTGATCTATCGAATCTGTCGGTCCGTCTTATAGAAAGCACTTTAGAGCTTCGTTGTGTGAGTTTCACACAGACACAGTTGGTGAACAAGACAACCGTCTTCTAGCCGACCATATGACAAGGCCGGTAGATTCGCAACATTTGAACCAGAAGTAAGCTGGATCGTACCGGTCAATTCGGATTATCATCTACGTTTCACGAAATTGGTAACGGTCAGTAACAGTGGTTTTATGGCGAGAAAGTGTAAACAAAATGGTCCCATGAAGTCATTTCACTACCATTTTTCACCCACCTTAATGGGCATCTGCTGTGTCAACAAATCCGCTTCATTGGCAAAATAACCAGAAGACGTTATGAGACCGTTGGCCCGGATATTATCTCACATTTTCTCATGCCAACCAAAGGTGCGCAAAGGTGCTTTCGTTACCTGAAGGACAAGTATTCTCCTTCACCTCTGCAGTTTGTTCAGTGTAAACCAAAGCAGTATGCCGAAGCGTTTTCCTCTCTCTCCGGAATTCGTTATCAACGGATCGACCAACTGTCGTCGACGAATTGCGTTCGTGCACAAGGCCTCAATTCTGGTTAAATTCGTCAGATTTCGCTTTCTTCGTACGTGTCTTCCAACCAGATGGCATTATACTGCCACACAGGGAGGATACCTTGGCCATCCACATTACCCGCGCCAACCCATTTGAAAACTGCGTCCAAAACAACCCTATAGAGTTCTTGCAAAAAGATCACACAAAAATTTACAGAAAAATGACACCTGGTGGCATTTGGTGGGAGGGACCATGATAAGAAATGAACCCAATCGACCCATGTTCACGTAATCCCTTCCGCTTACCCAACCGCTTAGGTAACAGCCTTCTCCCCACAAAAAACACGCAGAGAAATTGAAATTGGAAATGACGCTCAAAAGAAACATTCGTATGAAGTAAACCGGAAGAATAAGACGTAAGACACGGCCCAAATTCATCCTAGTTCCCCTCGAGCCCATCGGTCTTTACGCTTTCTGACACATATCAGAATCTCGTAGCCGACACCTAGCACTCATTTAGCCTGTTGATACAAAGAGAACTCGCTCACTGGTTTTCCTTTCTTGCAACCTTGCACGAGAGATTTCTTGTCAAAACCAAAGCATTACTGACCGTTTTTCAAACATTTTTGAAACGAACACTTCTCCGGTAAAATGCAAAACTTTCAAAACTCTAAAAATATGCTGTATTATCCACTTTTCCCGATTCCTTTCTCTTTAAATAAGAATGATGTAGGGCAGTCACTCATGGACTCTTTAGTCAGCAATCATAGTTGCTTGGAGAGCTAAGAAACACTGAGTTCCCATCAGCTGCAGTTAACGTGTGCGGCGTTCACAAAATCAGATTGCTTGGATCGGAACTCGAACAGCAGGACCGAAGTGGTCAGCAAAATCGGTCTCAAGGTGCGGTTGAGTCGACACTCGAAATATCCACATATTGTCCCTCGGTGTGACATACTACTAACAAATCTAACAAGCGCCTAATTCTGCCGTGAGATGCAGCACGAATTCACACTCTGAAGCAACTGTGGGCTTCGGTCTCATCATTGTCAAGCCTGTGAAAACTCGTTGTCTAAGTCAGAGTGGATGGTTAAAGTCAAGCTAGAAAGCCGGTCTGTAGCATGTCATCACGAATTGTAAACTATACATCTATGAGATTCACTTGCGAGGCACCTTTGCTCCTTCTCAGTCTCACGATCAAAGGTTTTATTTTTTTTAACTTCTTTCGTTCCTTTATGGGGACGTTTGCCTCCACGATCCTGTTCAGCAGAGCGGCTCTATAGAAGCCTCAGGAGTGACTCACCAAATAGCGATTTGCACGGAGTTCAGGGAGCTCAATATGCCCCAGTGGTTTAGGCGACAGCCTACCGACCGGAAGGTCCGTGGTTCGAATCCTGTCTCAACTTGGGGAACGTGGCAACATCTCAGCCCTTCTGTTTCCCTCGAGTAGTGTGGTTGCTAGGCACCGAAAAGATGCTACAGAAGGATGACTGCTGTTGTTGACTTACTTCAGGACTGGTACCTCTAATTTGTGTTACAGTTTAGATGACCTGTGCTGTGCTGGGAATCATTCCGTTGTGAAGGGCCAGGAGAAACATAATCGGCTAAGCTACAAGCATACGATGTCATTCCGTCAGACTTCGGACGCCTTCCTACTAAAGCCGGTCGAGTACCAACTCTGTATCAACTCTAACCCAACATGGGTCGACTGAGTGTTCTTGTCAGTTCAGATAAAAAAAGAAATAAAATGCAAGGCAGAACCATTTCGTACAATTTACTCAGTTGCGACACTCGTAACAAGACCAACTACGTTGCGCAAACCTCAAGCACGATCTTCAAACAAGTACAAAGTTTACGCTCGATGAGACGTTTGCTTTCCCGGGCATGCTAATAACGAGACTTGTCCAAGAAGTGCTCGGCTACAGAGAGCCTCGTTCGACTGAGCAGCAAGCCAACTTCCATGGGTTCCTCCACACTGAACATAAAGGAAGCAAAGCAATAAGGCAGCTCAACACACAGCGACGTTTCACACACAGGGGGGAGAGAGAGAACGTCTATGTTGATTATACCTGTTCCCGGAACCTCTTGCTGTGGTTACCGGATCATCAGAGCTGTGATGGAGTCACTTCCGGGCAGAATCTCTAATGCCAAGAAGCCGGAGTGCTCCCTACCTCTTGCTGTTGAAGGATGCCGCCAGAAGGACCGTCGGTAAAACGCTGTCATTGTCGCGAGGTATTTAGTCGTCGATACGGAACTCCCCACAAACTTGTCTAAGTACACACTAAAGGCAGACGTATTACGGTTGCCGCGGTTTAGGTGAATCAGTAATCTCTGATGAACAAACGGCGTGTCCTAGGCAGCATTCACATCTTATCATTTGCTCGTGCGGAACGGTTTCGCCTCGCACTATGTTCTCTTTCGGACCACTTGATGGTGGTCTGATAAATGAAGTGGTAAAAGGCCCACTCAAGTTTCTTGTGAAGAGGCAGAAATCGGAACCCCACGTTGTCGGGCTTGTACGAATACGCGAAATTTTGAAACGGATGAGCGTAGTTCACACTGATGACCCGCGTCAAATTATAACACAAGTAGTACTCACGCTCCTTGTGGGTATATTAGAGGTCTCGACATGTGTTGATACGACATCTGTAAAAATCTCCAAGTTAGGAGATTTTGATACAAAAATAAGCTGCCAGATTGTTTTCCGTTCAACTGATGCACGTCGTCCCTCCAGCATCATCAGTCATACAGTCCGCCACACAGGATGGAAAATGACCCAAGCAAGAGACCACTTACATGATCTCATTGGTTGTAGATAAGGTGGCTATTAGTCTGCTCACTGAGTTTGGAATTTGCTTGTGGGTGTTTCGTCACCAAACGTGGACACAAAATCACCATGCGGTTGGCTGGTACTTCCTCCTTACCTACATGTGTCTATATAGTTTACAAGAGTGTGGTTGATACCTGTTGATGTGACTGGCCGGATGAGGGACAGCTTTATCGTAATTCATTGGTCCAATCACGATTTGTGCTGCTTTACGGCCTTGTTGTCTTGCATTCGATTGGCCCCCTTGGATGGATTGCATCGCAGTTCTGATTGGTCCGTTTGACTGATTGATACATGATTTTGGCTATTCTAAAACCGCTAATGATTCCGTCGTTTACTACATCGACCGTAATCCCTAAAAAATGCGGCCTCCAGGTATTGATTAGCTTCACAGTGAAATGTGTGGTTTCATACCTGACACCGAGCACTATTCACACTAAGCATTCTGTCAGTAAACAAAAACTTCAAGAAATTATTCTTGTCTATTTCGAATAAAAATATCCTCTCCGTAACTTACACGTTTTAGCCACTGTGGTGGTTCGCTGTCATCGTTCCCGCGGAAGTGCAAATTCACCGTGATGCAGCAAAGATACATGGACATTGTGATCACGCCCATGTTGAAGCAGTAATAGGCACCTGCGAGACGGAACAAACTAACTTTAGTCGGGGGAACGGGTTTTTACGCTGCACGCACGCATGTCCATCATTTCGTGATTCGGGTCCCTTGAGCGGGCCCCAAATGGACACCGCCTATAATGTCTTGTTTAAGTGTGCTCAAACCATCTGTCCCACAGTCATCTGTAGGCTCATAATTTCATAGCCTATAACATTGACTAAGTCCTTGTTTATCCAAAAAAATATTGCTTATGAAGTGAAATCGCAGTTTGTAACCTCCATACAGATATCAACAGTAAGCATATAACTTAAACGCCCAGGAATCCCCGTGGCCACTGCATTGGACTGAGCAGCTGAGTGTATTGTTTCTTTTTTTACATTCACCTACTTAATTACGTGTGAGTAGCATAGATAACAAGCAACTCCAGTAGGAGGAGGCTTACATAGTCGGGACCTACAGGCTCAGTGATAGTCAATAAGACATATCATTCTTCAGCATCACAGAAAGCATAGAATTTGAAAGACTCACCCAGGAGAGGAAAACTACTCGCAGAAGCTGGAGTGGTGTCTTCGAGTAGAAGGTGAAGAAGCAAAAACGCGACGAACACATTCATGGCTGTTGGAGAAAAAAGCAGGCAGTGCGCGTTAGAAGTAAACCACATAAGCTGATTTCGCTCTGGATGAGTCATTTTACGCTCTTGAATCAGGCCGCTACGAATTTTCCCCAATTTTAATTTCACTCGAGGGAACATACCCCCAGAGCCGAGGAGAACACACACGTACTGGTTCCCCAAATGGCAGATTCATCCCCTAGAGGATACAATGGACTGACAAATGACTCATTATTAGCATAGATGCCCCAGTTCGTTCAAGTCACAAGCACCGCCGGTTCACTGTCCTGCCATATCAACAGGAATCTCCCAACTAACCTGGACTAGATTTGGTGGGAAATCTAGCCCAGGATATGTGCACAGGGCCAGTTCCAGGAAAAGGTCCTGTTGGATCTGAAGCACTGAAACATGATATAAATCGATCTCTTTTTGGCCGACATGATCTTCGTCATCTAGGGGCAACTGTTTGTCACAGACTATCTGTTGTGTTCCTCATATGGGGTTAGCCAGCTGAAATCTAGTTGGCGTGTTCTTATGTGTCCTAACAATAGGGTTTGGTGAACTGTATCGTGAACAGTGTATCGTCCTCAAAGACCCCCTCTTCAAGAATAAAACAACTCCGTCGATGAAACGATTTTAGCGAGGAGCGAAGTTTTTCCTCTGTTCCCTCCGTCTGAACAAGAAACACCTCCCGAAGCGAAGAGGTGATACCTTTGGCCCCTAACTTCTGTCCTTCTATCCAAAAGGAAAATACTACAATGCAAACATCACGTACAAGCAGCATCGCATACATGCTACTAAAAAGTTCATTACAGACACTGCCACAGACACACCAGTCGGTCATCCTACCAAACGCTTTTTGACTGGACTGGACTTGATTGGACCAGTCATTTGACCTTGGCACACTTACCGACTGGATGCAACATAGCTGAGGAGATGATGAAGCAACGCACGACCACTCCGTTTTTTCTCGAGTTAACGCTAGCGGAACGGTTACGATTGATCACCCTCACACGAGGAGACACTCTCGTCAAGGACACATTCTGAAACCTTCACCCGGAAGAATACTCTCAAAGGGGGCTCCGTAAGATGCAAACTATTCCAAAGTACAACTTACTCATTTAGGCAAGGGACTTGTTAGTGTCCATCTTTCAACAAGAAAGCACCATCATCAGCAACAGAAACATCAGTTTTCACTCTGATGCTTCACTGCCGTACAACCAGGTTTTTTTTAAATTATACTTGAGGCCTTAAAGAGAAAAGAATGGAAAATAGTGGGTGAGAGAGCGACTTGGTGTTAGCCCATCAGAGATGTTGCCTACACCTCAAGGCGCTCAGTCGGACAATCTGGAAGCGAAGTAACAGCACGAACGCTAATGAAATCGATTAGCCACCGTTTCTTGCAGTATTTCGAGCCAACTGTACGTCGGTCTACGAAGATCCCATCCCGGAAGGCGTACCGCACTACCAACACCCAAACACTTCGTTATCTCTTTCATTTCCTTCTGCCAAATCACTTTTTGGCATACCGAAGGAGACATGGAGGACAGAATCCTCAAGAAAGTACCTCCATTTCTGGAATGTGAGTCCCCAAGACAGCAGCATTGTAGTAAACAGTCAGGAGAAGCAGGACCCAGTTGCTCCTCCAACAGTAAGCTTATTCTGCGAGAGGAAAGTTGATTTTTAACATTGGCGTATGAATCATCCTCCATTAAGAAAAACTGGCCTATGAAGGCCTGTAAAAGCTTACTTAATGAGGATATTGTACCTGTTTGATAAGATGGTTGAGAAATGCGAACATTTTTATACCACGCGCGAACGAAAAACCCAATCGAGAGTAATTGTTATTCAACTCATGATGAGCACTGTAAGAACTGCTACTATAATTCATTCTATGGACAGATCCCTTCTTGCGATGACTAACTCTTCTGACTTGACGGACTGGACTGGACTGGACTGGACTGGACTGGACTGGACTGGACTGGACTGGACTGGACTGGACTGGACTGGACTGGACTGGACTGGACTGGACTGGACTGGACTGGACTGGACTGGACTGGACTGGACTGGACTGGACTGGACTGGACTGGACTGGACTGGACTGGACTGGACTGGACTGGACTGGACTGGACTGGACTGGACTGGACTGGACTGGACTGGACTGGACTGGACTGGACTGGACTGGACTGGACTGGACTGGACTGGACTGGACTGGACTGGACTGGACTGGACTGGACTGGACTGGACTGGACTGGACTGGACTGGACTGGACTGGACTGGACTGGACTGGACTGGACTGGACTGGACTGGACTGGACTGGACTGGACTGGACTGGACTGGACTGGACTGGACTGGACTGGACTGGACTGGACTGGACTGGACTGGACTGGACTGGACTGGACTGGACTGGACTGGACTGGACTGGACTGGACTGGACTGGACTGGACTGGACTGGACTGGACTGGACTGGACTGGACTGGACTGGACTGGACTGGACTGGACTGGACTGGACTGGACTGGACTGGACTGGACTGGACTGGACTGGACTGGACTGGACTGGACTGGACTGGACTGGACTGGACTGGACTGGACTGGACTGGACTGGACTGGAATGGACTGGACTGGACTGGACTTGATTTGACGTAGTGATCGACGTTCATGCAACCTAAGAGAGTATCGTTTGCCAGCTCGCAATAAGATCACCGGTATCCTGTATCACTGTTTGCATCCCGTCCCTCACTACTCTTCTCAGTCTATTCACTTGACTCACCCGATGAACGCCCACGCTTCTACCTGACTTTTGCTGACAAGTAGTTTGACTTTCGTCTTTGATCAGGTGGTCAAATTGCAGAGCTATTGTGAAACAGGGCCAAACAAAGTCCCAGCACAGTCGAGCAGTGGAAGAACTCCTGCCCTCAAAGAAAGAAAATATGTCTGGAGCGTGTCTTTTGAACGTGTTTCCCTTAATCTACCAGCGCAATCTGAATGCGCATGATGTAATTATCACGCCTGAACGGGCGAACGTGCTCACGGTTGAGTGATGTGATTGGTTCGCCGGATGCCTCAAACGGTGATCTAGTAGCCGTCCTGATTGTATCGACTGAATAACCCGTCTGTCAGGAATTCCTGGTCATTCAGCACTTCAGACCTTCTGGAAAAAGTTTTGACTGATCGGTGCGGGATTCATAGCATTCACCTTTACGTCACTCTTGAGTGAAGTTATTGATCCACTGGATCACATAGCCCTGTGAATTGTGGTCATTGCTAGACACCATACTCATGCACCAAACACGAAAGTCAAGGGAGAGCGAATGCATTCAACCAACTCACCCAAAATAATTTTCGACGGGGTTTCAGGCGGGAGCCAAAACACCACGGCGGTCAGTACTGAGAGCAACACGCTTGGCAGGATCAGAATGTAAGTGTAGAACGCCGACTGTCTGCGCATTTCGATGTAGAAAGAGATGTCGGGATACTTTTCCGGACAGCATGGATAAGAGATTTCGGTAAAGACTGCTCTGGTTCGTGTGACGGACCATTCCTGGTTGGTGACGTAGCTGGTCATACGCAGATTCTGTTCACCGGCGTAGAACGTGACGTTGAGACGAAAGCTGCAGGAGAGAGTGGTAAGGGAAAACAATAGTATCACTCACATCACCTGCGAACAGAACATGTTTACAGGGTAAACTTTGATTGATCCGTTTGAATTTCGCTCACTGGTGAGGAATTTAGCGGGGGAAGTGTTTCACCTCAAGGAACTGCCGGATAACTTTGGCGACACTGTTGGCCTGGTGTCCGTTTGCGGATTGGCTAGTCACACTGAGCTAGGTCAGTGTACAAAATGGGCAGTCTCACAAACTGTTTGCACTAAGCCACATGTTCATCCACTTGAACGTCCTCTACCCGATGTAAACCCGAGGGGATAAGACCAGGGGGTGAGCCAGGGGTGAAGAGTTTTGCAGCCATCACCAAGCCCAACCGGTGGCCCATAACTGTCAGTTCAGCTGGACAGTTGAACCCCACGCAGAGGGGCATCTGATGGCCTGTACGGCCACCAACCATCATGCAGTTCGGTCTGCACAACGATGGTCGCTGTGTTCCACATCTGGGACCATCGTAGGCCTGGCATTCCGGATGATCAATAGAGTGCAACCCAGTGGGAAAGCTACAAGAAGAGGCATTTCAAATGACATAGGAGTGAGTGCAACCCCACACCACGGGATTTCAATTGCGGAACCTATCAGGGTGTAATTTTAATGTGTTAGTTACGGGCATGCTTTGTGTGTGAGAAGGCCTTTGGTACGTGACTTGTCTAGGTCTCTCTGATGTAGCGTGACCCGGAGACTCCGTTTGAGGACGGAATAAGTGCCAATGCGGTTGATTGACCGGTTCCACATGGTTGACCGAAAACAACGGATGGTAGTTCGGTAGCCGGCCAAACCTGCGGCGTGTTTCAGTTCCCCTTTCACGTGTGCGTTTGTTTCGCTGCAATAATTCACGTGATCGGATGTGAGACCAGATATGAAGCATGTTTCGATGATCAAACATGAAAACTCTCCTAGAGTCTGCCCTTGCTACTCGGATATCTGAGGTCTATGAACCTGCAACTTCGTTGACTTGCTATCTGACAGGATAGAAGTCCCATCAATGCCATAAATCAATAAACGCCTCTCTCTATCTAAGCAAATCGAGAAGGTAATTCATCTTCGAGGAGGAACTGAAAGTCATTTGCAAACGGCAGTTTTTGGCTTGACTCCAACTTGCGATAAGGCTTTACACGTTGATCCAAAAACAGCATTATCAGGTAGTAAGCTGCGTCAGAACCCTGGAAAGAAAAATCTTTAAGTTTGAGCCGGTCAGCTGGACCGAACAGAACAAAGGGATTTGAAAGGTTCACAAAAGGAGCAAACAGATTGGATATTTTCGACCTATACCGAAAATCTAAAAATCCCACTGGGAACGTTTCTTTCTCAGAGGTTCGGTCTACACTCACTTCCTCTGGGAACCCTCTTCTAATTCTCACACTAAGGAGAGCGAGTTTTTTCCTCTGTTTACTCAACCAGAATATCTTGAGACCAGCGAATTTTAGTCCTTAAATCTTACGTTGTGTATTTCTGAGGTTTTTTATCTATGATATGAGTGAATCTTAGGACCGAGCCCATAGTGGCTTTTCGATGTCTTCTATAAAGTAACTAATGAAAAGTCGTTCAGCTGTAGCACCCTTTCGGTGCCTAACTGTCATGCCACCCGAAGTAAGCCTGAGGGATGGGATACTGCCAGGTTGCCCAAGCCTAGACAGGCGAAGTCGAGAGGCAAAGGTCGGGTTCGAACCACGGGCCTTCCGGTCAGTAAATCCGCACTCCAACCACTGAGCCATCTCGCCTCCTCAAAAAAATTAATCAAAAATTTTCGCTACTCACCCATCGTGTGCCCACGGCCCAAATTTCAAATGACACAGCTGTCGATCGAACGGGAAATTCCGAATTTCCACAGAACACATACTTTTGAATATAGCCATGGGGCCCCAGAACACGGTGCCATCGGAGTAGACCCGTACTTCACATGGGCGACGTTCACTCAGACGTTCATCCGCACTGAATTTGATGAAAGTGAGCAAACAGTAGAAGATGCCTTTGAAACATTTAGTTATCACTTTTGATGCAAGGTAAACGCTTTCCACGCTAACGTTATTACAAGCCCTTGGGTTTTACCACATTGTCGTGATTTACGTCGTTAATCGAAACACAGCACAATCCGGCATCATCTTGAATAACGTGATCAGCGCTAATCAGCTGATTCAGCAAAACGAACGTTCTGATTGGTCAGTCTTCTGCGGACCACCCAGGCAGACGTAGTGCTCTACGCACCAATGAGATTGATCTGATCTCGACCTAAATAACGTGTTCCTGAATCTGACTCCTGTTCCCCAACATGATCGATAAGAAACGTTGCCATCTGTAAGCACGAATGCAATACACCTATATGTCGCTATGACTGTTGTAGGGAGATCTAGACAAGCATCGGCTGGAACTTATCGATGCTGCCGCTTAGAATTCGTGTTTGGAAGGCGAATTGAGGCGCTGGTGTACCGCCGTCCATCTCAGATGAACTTTTTACTCCGCAGATCTAATCGTCACATGAATATCAAAAGATGCGCTGAAATTGGTAATCACTTCACTTTAGCCTGAGCAGTGTTCCTCTTATTGAAAAGTTAGGGGAAAGAACACAATGTACACATCGGGCTGCATACGGGAGATGTGATTAACTCACACTTAGACAGGATATCACATCAGTCATGCTTCTATGACATCACGTGGTCACACGCTGTTCGAGTGACCCCATCAGACGAAATGTTCATTCATCTTGTGAAATCATCCTTCCTCTGAGCTACTTACAGATTGATAGTAGCTAAAAGACTCGAGCAGATCAAGGACTTCCGTGGATAATGCTTAAAAATCGTGAAATACAGCGATCTGCAAACTAATTTGTTTTTAATACAAGGCTGAATCCCCCCTCTGAGTGTAGTACACTTAGGCTGCTTCCTACGTCAGTTGGTACGAAATTCGAGATACTACAGTACAGTTCCATTGAGAAACACTACTCACGAAAACTCTTCGGCAGTTCATGATCGGTTTGGCCCTTCATAGGGCTCATCAGTTACGCCCAGTCCTCGAGTTTCGGTTAACCACATGTTCTACGTGAGCCAAAATTGCACGTAGTTCCCGAAATGCACTCAGTTGCAACCAATTTGGTTTTAACAGAAGACTCAAAGGAATGTCTGTATGATATTTTTTCAGCTGGATTCGCTGCGCGAAGGCCGCCTCACGTTTCAGTTGGTACGGTAGCCGAGACAATGCAGTGTGCTTTATTGGAGGAACACCTCGATAGCGCCCAAGTAAACTTTGAATCATGCAGTTTATGGGGTCGTCCGTGCCAAGCAATGTTACTGCACTGCAACACTTTAGACACAAACTCACCGTCACCAAAAGTTAGATGTATATTTTTCATGAAGGAAACTACTCACAAGGTTGCTGAAAATTCTTCAACAGCCCACGACCGGTTTCGCCCTTCTTGGAGCTCATCAGGTAGGCGCAGTCCCCGAGTTTCCGTCAACCTTATGATCTACTTGAACCCAAATTGAACTGTTTTTGAGAAATACACTCATTTGCAAATCAATTTGGTTTTCAACGGGAGACTCAATTGAATCTCTCGTTTAT